ACAAATTGAAAGGTAGACCCCGCACTAACAGCCATCCAAAGAGAAAAGTTACTTGACAATACCAAGATCGTGCTCCTGGGAAAAAGTAAAACATAAATCCAAGTAGGTGCCACTTTTATCTGCTGTTTAAGTGTGCTCTTTCTATTTCTGAATATCAATAGTACTTGAGGTCTTTGATTTGTAGGGATCTCCTAAGGAACCAATGACTCCATGACTGGAAGGGATGTTAGGAGCTTTTCATCCACCTCCTTGAATGCATGTCTTCTTCCTTTTTCCTTCCTTCCTTCCCTTTATTCTTCCTACCTTTCCTCCCTTGTCCCTCCCTCCTCCTTTCTCCCTCCATCCCTCCCTCCCTCTCTCCCCATTTCCTTCCTTCCTTTCTTCTTTTCCATTCACCTACCCATCAATCAATCCACCCACCCATCCATGAAACTATATATCCACCCATCCCTCCATCCATCTACCCATCCATCCATCCATCCATCCATCCAGCCAGCCACCCATTCATCCGTCCATCCACCCATCCATTCATTCACCCATCCATCCACCCACCCACCCAACCACCCAATGATCCATCCACCCATCCACCCACCCATCCATCCACCCAACTATCCATCCACCCATCCATCCACCCATCCATCCTTCCATCATCCATCCACCCACTCATCCATCTATCCATCCATCCACTCATCCATCTATCCAACCATCCATCCACCCACCCATCCATCCACCCAGTCATCCATCCGTCATCCATCCACCCACCCATATACCCAGCCAGCCACCCATCCATCCACCTATACACCCATCCATCCATCCATCCATCCATTCATCCATCCATCCACCCAACCATCCATCTATCCAACCATCCATGCATCCACCCACCCAACCATCCATCCACCCACCCATCCATGCATCCATCCATCCACCCTTCCACCCATCCATCCACTCACCCATGAATCCATCCATCCACCCATCCATCTATCCACCCATCCATCCACCCACCCATCCATGCATCCATCCATTCACCCACCCATCCATCCATCCACCCACCCACCCATCCATCCATCCACCCATCCATCCATCCATCCATCCATCCATCCATCCATCCATCCATCCTTGCATTTATCCTTTTTCCTTTCCTTCTTAGTCTAACAGACTTGAACAATCAGAAAGAGTTACTGAGAATTTATTGGCTTTTGTGGGTTTTCCCTCTTTTTTACTGGTTGCTCCATTAACAGTATGAGGAAGAAGTCTAGCTCCCCAGGCTGATCAATCAAATAAAGCTCAGTTTTAAAACATGTGGGACCAAAAATTTTTAAAAAGCGCACATTTTAAAGAAAGGTTGGATGGGCTGTTGGTACAGGAAGTACATGACAGTCGAGAGTTCTGATGTGGGGAACCTAGAAAGAACCAGGGAATGAGGTGGAAATCTTTCCACCGTATGGAAATCTTTCCTTTTTCCAGAGAATGGAAACCTAGCCTACAACGAGTTCTGTGGCAAAATCAGGCACAGACCTGCCTTCCTACAGTTTGTAGGAGTCACTTTTGAGTCCACTCAAATTAAGATATGCTGAACTCCTGCCAGGTGTAGTGATGCACACCTGCAACTCCAGCACTCAGGAGACTGAGACTGGAGGATCTCTATGAGTTCAAGGCCGGGCAGGGCTACATAGTGAGTTCAAGACCAGCCTTAACTGTACTGCAACATCTTGTTTCAACAACATAAGCAGACAACAACAGCAAAACTGCTCAAAAACAAAATAATAGAGAGGTCTGCAGACTTCTGAACCAGCTCCTGAGAAGGCACTTTTAGATGGATCCAAGCAAATGGTAGATGTAAGTGGTTAGGAGGACTTTGTCATGGAGTAGGGCAGGCTCCGAATGTACAGCGCAGGTGCTGGGGTAGAAGTCGGCACTTGGGGGAGAGCATAAAGGGAGTTTGATGTTGGAGTACAGTGGGAATGCCTGCAGCCCTAAACTGTGAAAGTCCAGCTTCTATGAAACCACATAGAGCTAAGTAGATGCAAGCAACTGCTCTCACAGGGGCTTTAAGGTGAACTCCGCCCCCCTCTTTATAGGGGACGGGTAGTTTCCTGCACAGTGAGAGGGGAGCTTCCTGCCATTTACAAAAGTTCTTCATATTAGTACGTGCGGGCAGTAATATTGATTGCATTCCTCATGTGGAGTTGGTGGGAGCACATAATACATTTTTCATTCGCTCATCTCCTCCCCTTTCTGTCTGTCCAGCTGTTGACCTCCTTCCCTTTTGCAAAACATCTATGCCCATGTTTCCCACTATCTGTCTTTTATTTTGCTTTCTAGTTCATTTATACACTGGCTTTCTCATACACAAGAAAAAACGTGATAGTTAAGCTTGTGTGCCTAATTTATTTGACTTAAAATTATGGCAGCAAAGTGCACCCAATGTCCTATAATGACTCAAGTCTAGCCTTCTGTATTGCAGTGTGGTACTCCATGGTGTGTAAAAACATTTCCTTTATCCGTTAGGGTTGACATTTCAGAGAGCCCTAGGAAACTAAATAAAAAACATTCCTTTAAAACTTAATGCCTTAGCAAAATTCAAGGGCAGGCAAAAAAAATAGTTTGTACCAGTTTCATGAAGTATGTCTTTGGGTTTTTGTAAATAATTTTAACTTAAATAAAATTGCTACTTTCAATACAAAATAAATAAATAAATAAATAAATAAATAAAAATTTGATGGCCTGGCATGGTGGGACACGCCTGCCTATAAACTCAGCACTCAGGAGGCTGAGGTAGGAGGATTTCTACGAGTTCAAGGCCCGTCTAGGCTACATAGTGGGTTGGAAGCCAACCTGAACTGCATAGTTAAACCCCTGTCTCAAAAAGACAAACGACAACAACAACAAAACAGTATAACAAAATAACTTGATGGCTTCCTTGATGTTTCTTCATTTTGTTGTTGGAGAAATAAATTTTGTGTCATAGACTCACATTCCTCCCTGTTGCCCCTGCCCCTTCCTTCCTCTCGACCCCAGGATGGCTTTTCTTACAACAAATGCATAAAGAAGGACTCTGGGAGGTTGGTTTTCTTATCGTGTTTTTTTGCCCAGTTGGTCTGTATGCCTGTAGTCAAGATAACATTATTAACCCACTCCTTGTCAAGAAAAAGAGGACAAAAATTAGAAGCACTGTACAAATTGTCATTTGGTAAAATTTGAACCATTGGGACTTTGGCATCCCCAAATAATCCCTGCACTACTGCATAAAGCTGAACTCCTCCTGGGTGTCAGATTCTGATGTTTGCCTCAGAGCAGGGAAATTTACAGCCTCTCTGTGACCTGGGCACCTCCACTTTTAACTCAGGACAAGGTGTTCAAGATTCACTAGCCCAGCTCAGGCGGGTACGAGGGACGGATGCCTTGTTAGTTTTTATAGTTATGCTATGCTGGAAAAGAAGAATTCATGGCCTTGTGTTTGTCGTCGTGTCAGGTACTGGGGATTCAGTTCTCCACTGTATATGGATAACCCTCTCGGCAGAATATTGGTTGATCCTGTTGTTTGTGTTCCTTTTGCTTTTTTTATATCTTCTACTACAGTTAAGGTAATACATTTTATATATATATATATATATATATATACACACACACACACACACACATACATATATATACAGACATTCAGATATAGATTTAATGTATATATTTATATATGCATTTCATGTTTATCTAGTATATATTTGTACACATATATAATTGTAAATATATGCAGAGATTTGCATATAGTTATATATTCATAAATAGAAGATACATGTCACATAAGAAAATCTATTTCTATTTTAATTAATGAATCTCCATCTCTGTGTCTCTTTTTCCCTCCCTCTGTCTCTCTCTTTCTCTCTGTTCCTATACATACATATATGCACACACATTCAGATATAGATTTAATCTATTTATTTATACATGAATTTGATGTGTATATATATTTGTACACATATGTAATTGTAAATATATGCAGAGATTTGCATATAGTTATATATTCATAAATAGAAGATATATGACAGATAAGAAAATCTACTTCTATTTTAGTTAATGAATCTCCACTTCTGTGTCTCTTTTTCCCTCCCGCTCCCTCTTTCTCTCTCTCTGTTCCTAAATACATAATAAACTCTCTGTGTCTGAAATTTCCACATTTACAAATTCAAATGAGAAGTTCTGAAAAATATTTGGAAAAAAATGCTTGTCCGTGAACACATATCGGTTTACTTTTCCCCATCCCCTAACAGTACCGGATAAGGGTTACGTGATTACTTAGGCACCACTGACATTTTATTAAGCATGATTTCTCACCTAGAGATGAATTAAGATAAATATAAACATACACCCATGTTTTCTGCAAATATATACATGTGTGTGCATGTAACTACATATATACACATGAATATACATATGTAAAGTATATTTTAAGATATGTATGCAATCTACTCATGAATGTATGGATAAATGCACATATTAGTACTTCTGTATAAATATTATGAGATTTAGTTATTCCTATGGTTGTGTGGTGAGTTCAGTTTCCAACATGGCCCTTGTGCCTCTGTAAGGGTTTTATTTGGACAGTGAATCAAGGTTGCAATTAGGCTGGAAACCTTATGATCAGCTTTAAATGCACAGTCGAATATATATATATATCACCCTTGCACCAGCTGGAAGAACCTGTAGAATAGCCCTCAAGTAATAAATCTTGTTTGACAATAAACTATTTAAGGGTAAAAAATATGGGTTCCAGGCTGAGGATGTGGCTGAGTGGGTAGAGCGCTTGCTTAGCACGTTTGAGGTCCTGGGTTCGGTCCCCAGTACTGCTAAAACAATGGCTTCCTATAGATGTTGGTATTAAAAAAAATGAGTGATTACCGCTATGCATGTGCTGCCTGTGAATTGGAGATAATCCCAAAGCCCTACAGCAAAGACTCAAGCAAGGTAAGTGGCAGGACGATACCAACATGCAAACTGGCACATACCCCGTTTTGGCGAAATTGGTCCAGTAAGTCATGACCACTGCGCTTAACATCACATCGTTCTTGGAGAAGTTGCAGCTGAAGAGTTCTGTGGGGCCGATCATGGGTATCCCGAACACATAAGGGACCTCGTCCCCGTGAGCTGAGTCTGCCCAACTGGGTTTCATTTCGCTTTGACAGTGGTGGTAGAAGGCATAGAAGTAGGTGGGCGAGCCATACTGTGCGTGGAGGTCAGCGGTGGCCACGGCAGGTGCCACCCACTGATGGTCTGTGAAGAGGGCCACCAGGGTTTTGCGTCGCGTTTCTGGGTTTTCCTTATCTGCCCAGTCCGTGTACATGAACTTGATGGTCTCTCTCAAGGTGTCTTTGCCTTCCGGGTAGCCGTAGAGGTTGTCCACGAAGTTGGACACGGAGAAGTCAAAGTCATTGGACGTCACGCCGTCCTCATTGTCCACGATACCGTCCACGAACTTCAGCCCCTCCCCTTGGTTCACGCCCAGCATGATGTCATAGTTGAGGAACTCGCCTTGCTCCATGAGGATCTGCGGGTCGTCGGGGATGACATCCCCGTCTATCACGGGGCCGAAGGCGATGTGGTAGGTGGCGGGGGTGATGGCCTGCTGAATGAGCTCTTTGTAGTTCTTATTCCTCAGGCATTCCACCATGTCCGTGGTGTCTAGCATGTTGCAGCCCACTTTGTCTGCCAACATCCGAGTGTATTTGGCAGGCTGGTAGTTCACCGCCCAGCTGGACAAGGCTGTGCCGCTCTGGATGATCGCTTTCTGGAAGAGACCTGCAGGTGCAAAATTGTGGACATGCAAATGAAAACCCGGGGGACACAGAAGCAGCTTTTCACGGAGCGAAGAAGGCTGCAATTGTTGCGAATTTCTGCGTGGAGAAGCATTCAGCTGGAGCTGGGCTTCTCTGACCCTTTGCATTCTGCTCTTGCTTCTCTCCCTGAACATTTACTTTGTGGGATGTTATCCTGCACACTCACTCACAAACGTACACACACACACACACATATGCATGCATGAATATACTCACACACATCAGCGTTTAAAAAATAAAAATGTTCTGATTTTTTTGCAGCAGAAAAACAAGACAACAGGAGCAGGCAAAATTAAAACATGCAAATCATTTTTTATCTCAAAATTTTGTGGAGGTTTAGACTCCAAATGCCATGCATAAAAATTCTCTCCCTGGAAGTTCATTTCATTTCATGTTATTTTACACACACACACACGCACACACACACAGAAATACACAGGTATGCATAAGTGGATAAACACTCACAAAAGTATCACAACAAAGATCCACTGACTTTTTCTGCAGCAATAAAAGCAAATGTAGCGACTTGATCTTTCCAAAATTTTGTGTAGATTTTGCCTCTAGATGGCATGCAAAAAAATTCTTAGAACTGGTGAAACATGCCATTGTCTAATTACATGCATCCTGTAAATATGAAGTCAAAAGCTCTCTGGGGGTTCACAGCAAAATCAAGCAAAACCAGATACCACTTTACGGAGGGAAAGAAAAGTCCAACAGCATCAATTTTAGAATATGCCTTCAGGGGTGCTGCTTTTACAGTCAAAATAAGGTCTTTATTTAATAACTATTCCAGTACTTATTCAGAATAAGTAGTTCTGCTTAAAGAAATCTTACATTGTGTATTTTATATATATATATTAACTTA